CCGAACCCCAGGACTTTCCCACAGTCTGTACTGGGACTGCATCCCTGCCCTTGGCCTGATTTCTCAATTTACTGTAGGTCTCCGCTTCATACACTAATTCACCTCGGACTACACGACAGCACTTATCTGGGTGCAGTCTCTCTCTGAGCTATCTGTATTTTTGATTATTTGCTCAGTGGCTCGGTAAGGGCAGGCTCACTAGGACGCTCAGGCGCTCAGGAAATGCAGTCTGTCCTGAGCCTCTGGGGAGAGAGAGCAGGGGCTTTGGTGGCCGAAAATTCTCGCTGTCTGCTTTCTGTAACTAGTGTGATCTTGGAGCACACGTCTGGCCTTCCTTTATTTGTAAGAATTCACTGACAACACGTGTGAACAACCCGGCGTCTGGGACATCCTGGGGTGTCGAGTTCCCATCCCTGCGCTGTAGAGAGCGGGCAATAGGATACCACCTCCTCCGGGGATTCCCTTGTGCCTGGGACCTACCCACCCAGGGCCTTTCTTCCCCGGAAATAGGCATCCCGAGAGCTTCCGGGAGGAAGTGGTCGGCGGGAAGGCAGCCGCCACTCCTTTTCTCTCCCCGGGCCGGACGGTGCGCGGCGCATACCCGCCGGGGAGACACGGGGCGGGGCCTTGCGCGCCGGAAGCGCGCAGTGCGGGGAGGCGGCCTCCTCCGCCGCGTGTGTGCCCCAGCGCCGCGCGGTGGTTCCGGCGGGGGGAGGCCGGAGTCACACATGATGTCACAGGCGGTGATACAAACCGGGTGTCTCGTTTCTGCACCGCGTCCGTGGAGCTCACGCCTGGCCACGTGCACCCGGGGCCTGCGCCTCCCGCCAGGACTCTGGGGGTGCGGGCCGGGCAGGACCGGGTAGGGGCCGGCGGGCGAGCCCCGCGGGCGGGCCGGTGAGCGGGTGCTGTCGCGGACAGCGGTGGGTGGGTCACCCGGAGGTGAGGCGCCGCCGGGCGAGTTCACCGAGAGTTCAGCCGCATTGCATTAGGCAAATGAGGCCGGGGCCGGGTGGGGATGCACCAGGGGAGGACACCGGGACCACCCCACCTCCGCCGCCGCGTCGCCCCGGCCAGGGCTGGACTGGAGCTCGGGGGCAGCTGGAACTGGGGTGGGGGCAACGCCCGCCCCTTCTTCCGTTTCTGCCTCGCGTGCACCCCCGTTCTGCTAGCGCCCTGCCTGCGTCTATGCTCGGCGTCTTCTCCTTCGGGCCCTCGTCCTCTTCCTGCTCCTCTGATCTTCCCGTCGAGGCCCCCCTCTCCCCGCGCCGAGCCGTCCGCAGCCAGACCGCTGAGAAAGGGTTAAGCGGGGGCGGGGTCCGGCGGGGCGGGGCGGGGCGG